TGCAGATAAGCAATCACTTGACCTTACAAAGTACCTGTTCAGTAAAACAATTTTGAAGTAACTACCTAAAAAACTTAGCAGGAAACTTCATAAACAGTGTAATGAATATCCCTCTTGAGAATAATGAATATTCCTCTTTGAAAGGAGGAACAGGTGCTTTATAAAAGCTTCCTACGGCAGCACCACAAACCCTCTAATCACCACTGTTGTGAATATTTTTAAGTAGATGAATGAGTAAAATCCCTCATAGCACCTGGTATGTGATTACTTTCAAAAGATGAGTTTGATTTTAAATATTGCTTTGATTTTATGCTGCAAACATTCCCACTTCTTTCATTCTCATTTTATGTTAAACCATCTGTTTTAAGTTAGTAAAAAAGTTGTGATGGAAATAGCTTTCACTTTTTTCTAAAATTTTAATATGGCTTGTTTTGCTTGCCATAATGTAACAGGACAGACTGACTAGTTGCAGGGTGAGCTATGGTTTAATTCTTATTAATAGCATTTTTCTAGCAAGTGTTACTTTTAATGCTGTATTCCTGTGTGACTATTTTTGTTTAGTATTACTTAGGTGGGTAAAGACAAAAAATCCTGATTGAAGTGATTATTAAAATGGCTTGCAGTGCTATATGTATGCTAGAGAAAGCAGATTGAACTAAACAGAGAATGCTATTTTACAAGAAGTTTCTGAAATGCCACTTCAGGATGTTATTTGAGCATTTTTTGACACGGCTGTCAAAGCACTATTATATGTCATGCCATGGCTCAAGTTATCAGTCAGTCTTTCAGTTATTGAATTCAATAGTGAAGAATTGCATCCTGCCAGAGGAGCTGATCTGTGTCATGAAGGAGAAAAACAACAAACTCTTCTGTTGGTGTGGATGGGATAAGGTAATTGGCTGCACGAAACGTGATACTAGCTGTAGTCATCTCCTCTGGTTTTGTGACCAAGCCTGTTAAAATCCACTGATCTCTGTAACTGATGAGATTTACTTTTTAGGCATCAGTTTAAATGTCTCTTGCTGTCTTACCACAATTCTTTCAATCTCCCATGAAGTGTTGTTGCAGAAAACTGTCTCTCATTAAGAAACAAAGGCCGTAAAGAAGGCAAACTTAAATGTGAGGGGAGGTCTCCTGGGAGACACCTCCCTACTCTTCTCTGAGACCAAGTTGCTGCTGGATCCAGGCTCAGCTACTGAGGTATTCTCAGCATCCCATGTGAAGTGTTGTGTGCACGTGGAAGGGAGAGGAAGTTTTGGACTTTGATAATTTTTTGCTATGATCCTGTTTGAAAGCAGCCTGCTTGCTTGGCTGTTGATAGGATGGGTGGGATCATGTGAAACAAGATGCACTTTGATAACAATGGTAACATTTATGCTGAGGTGGAGGAGGATGTTTTGCTCATTTCAAAAATACCACAGCCCTTTTGGCTTGGCAATTCTTTTGATATTCAGATGTGTTTGGGACCCTTATATTCTCAGTATAGGGCTGGGAACTGTCTCTAATCTGGGCAGGCTCTGGGCTGTAGTGAGGTTCCAGAGTCATCTAGGGGCATAATGAGACTAGCTTTTTTGGTGGGTTTTCTTTGTTCAGTGAGGAAAATCCTTTATTTCAGTAGCATCTCTAACTTACCCCTAAGCATTACTCCTTTCATGCACAATAGTAACCTTATTCTTTTTGAGAAGTGTAGCAGCACAGGAAGTGCATCCCATTCCACTCCACAACCAATTTTTCCTGTTCAGTAACAGGAAGAAACAAAGGCTCAGTATAACACAGCAGCTTAGTTTATTTGGAAATATGGTTAACTTGGAAGAGATTCAGTAGGCCTAGGAGAAGGTACAAGAGAACCATTTGCTGGTGGAATTGGTGATTTGTACAAATAGCACTTCAGCACTTCTGTTTTTCTCAGTAGACCAAGATCCTTTCCTGAACACAGTCATGTTTACCCAGAGTGTGTCAAATCCACCTTACCCATTCTTCCACACAATCTTCCTTGCCCAATGCCTTGCCTTCTTTCTGAAGTGATAAATAGCCAGGATTTCCAGAAGAGATATTGGGTGCTTCAATCAATGACCCTCTGCTGACAGTGACTGACACCTGAAAATCAACTCTGAAATGACACCGGTTACTCCATATAAGCACCTAAAAATACTTGTCTGATACTCTGCTGATTTTATATTTATTATATTTATGTATGTAATGGTCACAGGATCATGGAAGTTACAAAGCCCCTGGTGGTTCTTAGGATATTTAGTGATTGAGTCTGGTTTTTAAAAATAAGGGTCAAGATTTTTACACTTTGGAAGGAATTAAATTTAATTTGTTTAATTGCAGCCATTAGCTTTGACACCAGCCATAAGGGCTCTGCTGTGTTCTAGATAGGCAACACTAAGCTAGTGTTGAACACAGTTGAGAATCTGACCTTACAGTCTAAAAAATCCAGGACTTCATTGCTAAGCAGCATCACTGACCCACTTCTGAAGGAACCACTTGTGCACTGCAGGCAAGCTGTTCAAACCCACCCAAATAAACACAGAAATTAAGCATTTGCTAATTAAAAACAAAAACTGTCATACAGAAAACCTTCCAGCTGAGCCAGGCTAGAACTTCTGAAAATGAAGTTCACTCTCATTAACACTGCTGGAGTTCAAGTCCCTTGGGGGCACTGGCTGCCAGTGCTTAGCTGTAAGAATATTGCACATTCCTACTTGTGTTTCTTCTTGGTTTTAATTAAAGGAGATGGCTCTGTAGCCTGGGCATGAGTGTTACTTCCCAGGAATGTCTAACCCTGTTTCTTGATACTGAAATTTTTTCATGGAAACCTACATTGTACTCACTGTGCTTTATTCCCAAGTGACTCGTGCAGCCTGTATGGATCACCCCAATCATCAGCACAGCCTGGGTAAAACACTGATGTGCAGAAGTCACCTCAGGCCTTAAAAACCATGTGTAAAGTCCTTCTGGACCCTTTATTAGTGGCATTCACAGCTGATCCTCCTAAGCTTTAAAGTTTGGTGCTTCACTACAGCTTTTACCTTGATTTCCATTTGCCTTTATTAATGACACTGAACCTCTTGTCTTAAGATACTGACAATTCCTGATGTCTGAACTGGGTACCAGCAAGTGGCTGTAGAATTTTACAGAAGCCAGTGTGTATTCTCTCCCCTAAAAGCAGTTTTCCCCATAACTGTGTTAATGTGCACAGGTGCCATGCAGAGTCCAGCCCACGCCAGGTACAGATTTTAACAGCTACAGAGCTTTATGTGGTGGTGTAGGTCTCAGCAAGGATGCAATAACATGTACATGAGAGTCAGTCTTTGTTCTCTTTCCTACATCTTTGGTCATAGTAATTAAAGTGCTTCATGTCTTAGTGGAAACCTTTTGTGTTCTTTCCTCTTTGATCCTTTAAATTTAAGGTGCTTAGTGGTGTTGGTTCTTTGTCTCAGGTAAGTCTGCAATACTGAAATTGTTCTGGAAATGTAAGTGGTTTTCATCAAATCAGTCAGTGCTAGGGATTAGGTTTTATTTGTACAAGAACAGTCTGAGTTACTTTAGATGGTGTCTATTGCCACCAAATTTAATAAGATAGTTTTCCTCTCTAAAAAAATAACTGTTTATCCTTTTGGAGTAAACTGCTGTTAATTTTTTCTCCTTTCCTATACTGTGGTTCCTTGGTATATAAGCACACACTTGACTTAGTTGGCTTCACAAAATGGAAGTTCCTTTTGCAAAACATTATTTTAGGAACTTTTTACTATCTCTTGTTATTTCTAAGCCTGAGATTGTCACACTAGATCCATGTACGTTTATTTTACTATTTACACCTATCACAGTACATTTATATGGAATACCATCACACAGACAAACCAGCTACTTACAGCTAATGTAAAGATATTAGATTCCACAAGGCTTAATCTGCATAGAGACCAGAAACACAATGGTGAAACACAGACAAGTATTTCTGTATTTCCCTTAATTTTAAACCCATTTTATATAGAATGTGATCTTCCTGCCACAAATACCTACATCTGTATTTGTATATTTGTCTTGTGGCCAATTTGTCTTGGGTGTCTTGTGTCTTCCTATGCTTTTTTATGGATAGTTTCTATTTCTTGTGGTCACAAAATAAACAATTAATACTTGTTTTAAGCATGATATCAATATTAGTTAAATTTTGTCTTCTGTTCTTCTCCCAGTAATCTCTCAGTGATGTGTAATCTCCTACTGCACGTAGCTTGGAAAAATAACAAAACCCTGGGTGAATGTTTCTCTTACTTTATGGGAGGTGGAGATCTAAAACAGAAGTGACACAACCTTGGACTGCTTCATCAGTTTGCAGATTACTCTAGCTGTGCTTTGCTAAAGCTTTGCCAGGGATTTATTTCCCCTGGTGCAAGCAATATTAATTTGACTTGAGTAAATCGGATATCACGTGGGCTATAAAGATCTGTAGCTACTTGCAGCATCCTTGTCACTGATCTCATTCTTTAGGAAGAATATGAAATGAAACTCCACAGCAAAGTAGCTGAATATCACACCAGCTTGGTATTTTGTATGCAACATCTGTTACCCTACAGTTGCTTGCTCTATCAGTTGTGCTATATATAGCATTGTTACTTGTGATTTTGTTCTGTAAAAGTAGCCAAAATAGGATAATTTGGCGATTTTGTAGTGCAGTTTGTCACAGGGGGGAAAAGCATACAATATATTTTTATAAAGGTATAGCCTATTAAAATTGCTGTTTTACACCATACTGGATAAAATAGAGCCCCTTTTGCTTCACCTGTGTCACGGGGGTGGTTTTTGTTGACTCTACTGCTGATCTCTTCTGGTCCCTGGACAGCCACTATATAGATTTCTTTTGTTTTAGGCATGCGTGTAGAGTGATCCATGCAACAGTGAAGAACCTGCCATTGTCCAGTCCATAGCTTGCACTTGTGCCAGCTGCTCTCGCCTCCCTCAGCAGGACGCTGTTGGTTCCCCTCACCATCCAGTTCCACTCAATGGAAACATTGCAAAGACAAGCAGGGCAGGAAGCCCAGGGCTCTACATGATGTTGCACTGCGTGGCCCCACAACAATCTTTAATAATTGCCAACCCTGCCTTGGCAATGGTGGGCTTGCTTGGAGGAGGTTCTGCCTTCTTTTCTGCTGGGCTGCCTGCAATGTTCAAAACAGGGTGCCATTAGAACCAAGAGCTGCTCCAACTGTTTCTTCCTGCTTCTGCTTTAAAGGGTGCAAACCTTTCCCACCCTCTCTCCACCCACCCTGAATTTTTCAACTTGGATTTGAACAATACACTTGGGTGGTGACTGAGCTGATATGTGGTTTGAAACTTCTCCAGAAAGTCTTATCTCTTCAGGGAATGGTGTTAAGAGAAGCTAAAAAAATCCATACATCTCAAAGGGAGGGTAAACTTGCATTTGGTTTAAGGCAGGTGTCCCTTTTCACAGCCATGGGGTCAGATAATGGGTCCTTTCACAAAGTCATTTCAGTTTAACTCCCAACAATGGAAGGAGCTGAAGAACAAATGTATTGCTAGAATTTATTTTCTCATTAGCTTGGATGTTGTAATTAAGAGAACAAGATAAAGGTAGGTTTTCATTTTTCAGGGTGAAAAGAATCTTTTTATTGCTCAAACTGCATTTGAAAGCAATGACAAAGTAAACTAACAAGGGAGATGAGTCATGCTCCCTGTGCCTAAGGGGGTATAAATAATTAGTGTTGCATCTTAAAATGTCTCTTCTCAGCCTTGTACTTGAACTCCACAGTCATCCAGTCCCTCTGGCAACTCTTGAGCAAGATCTTGGTCTGTGCAAAATAGCAAAATGTTTGACACAAGCTTCCAGCTCGTGGGCCAAAGTCCCTTTCTAAGAAGGGCACTGCTCTCATTTGATTCTCTGCCTGACAGCTCCTCTTGAGACAAAGGCAAAATCAATCTGTGAACTTCTAGAGCTCCTGCTGTGGCTGTGACTGTTCTGTCTGAAAGTTGTGGCTAAAAGCTTCCAAGGGGTCATGCAATCCACACAAAAAGTGTGCCATTCTGTCTACAAGTGATTTGGGTTGGGGTGATTCAAAAGCCTACTTCTGATGGTAGTATGTAAGAAATTTGGGTCACCTGTGGAAGTTTGCAGTCTTTTCTCTAGTTTCCACCTTGACTGCAGTAAAACAGAACTTTGTTTCAGATATTCAAGCATGGACCTGAAGAGGTTTTTTTCCGTTATTTTTGTAGAAACAGATAGGGAAAATTATTAATAAAAATCTAACTGCTTAGAAAAGCAGCTTGTGGCACAGTGTATACAAATATACTGTGCATATTTAAAACATACAGAGCAATTTTGAAGTGGCCACAGGTGACTAAAATTCAGTTTTAAGGGGTAATTTGGTATCTGAAGTCTAAGTTGCCAGCAGTTGCTGACACCCTGTGTTGTTTCTAGGTGATCTAGCTAGCTTCACCCAGCTTTTGCCAGAGGCTGCCCTGTGAAAATGCTCTTTTAATCAGTTGTCTTTGGAGCTTTTCCTTTTTTTCCTGTCTTTTTCTTAATGGTTAGGAACTCACTGGTAGGAGACTGTGTTGCTTTGTCTATGGGTTTTAACTTGGTGCGAAGGAACTCAGCCATCTCTCTGTCTTCTTCTTTTTCCCTGGTGGAAAGAAGGAAAATGAATGTTAGAGGAATGACAGTTTTCTCTGTAAATGGGACAGTAAAAGCTAGAGCAGACAGGATTAAGCCACTAGTAAACAACTAATTTTTTTTGCTATTTTTAGAAACATTTAATTTTGCTGCTTATTAAAAAGCAAAATATTTGCCTAAATGAAAGCTGCCACCCAGGCTTCTGCGATTTGCACACAGGGCTCAGTGAGAGCTCTGGGCTCAGATCTAGCTCAGGCTGCTTGTCAGCTGCTGCCTTTGGCCAGCTCTCTTTGATCAGCTGCAGGACTCTGGCAAAAGCTTTGCTTTATCCTCTCCTCGCTTGCTCAGAATTTAAATGTGTTGGAGGAGATATTGTCATTTTGGATAAATGGATTGAGTCTTTAACGGATTTGCTGAAGGAGGGGGGAGTAAGAGCAAAACTGACTCTTTTTAGAGTGTGGATCTCAAACAAAAGATTGGATTTGGGGGCTGGAAGTGAACTTTTGACGAAGACCACAACTTTCTTGGCAACTTTGGGCTAAGCTACAGAGATGAAACCCTTCAGAACCTGCTTATGTCTTAGGTAGGGCTGTACTGCTGAGTGGTACTGACTGTACTGCTGAGTGCTTTTCAGTTGGTTTGGGGGTTTTCTTGTTGTTTGGGCTGTTTTGCTATGACAAGATGGGAATAGTAGTAATCTACCTGACAACATGAATAATTAAAAAAGGAGGACTTTAGATGTCTACAAACATGCCCCTTGTAGAATTCCATTTCATGTCTACTTCTTATGCCAAGAGAATTCCCTGGTAGCAGCATAAATCCTTTTCTTCTAAATGGGCAATGCCCAGACTGTTTCTGGTAGGAAAATGAGACCAAAGCTCACTGTTACTCATGAGATGACTGAATCATTAATGGGATAAAGAGCCACAGAATTAGAGTAATCTAATTTTAATGTTTTTCCTATGGAATAGGGATGAGGCTTTTAACTTGGTAAGTTGTTTTGAAGGACCAATTCTCTCCCATTAATGTTGATTTAAATTTTATCACTTAATCTATTTTATTATTAGGCTTGTGGAATGTCACTAAGTAAGTTCAGTTGCTCTTGGCTCTTACCGTAATCTCTCCACCTCTGCATCATCCACAAGAAAATCTCTTTTTTGTACCAGTCGATGAATCTTCTGAATCAGTTCATCCTCTCTTTGCTTCTCCATCTTTGTTTTTTCTTTTTCTGGTCAAAAACAGAGAGAAGAGTGTATGACTTTGGGCTCTGGGGAGTGTGAGGGGGTGGTGTAGGACATTGCAGATGTCTGAGAATCAACTGCTGATTGAAGCCAATGGTTTTCCAGACCTGAGTCACCAAAACCCCAGCAAGCCGGGTCACTGCCTCCTCTCTTCACTTGCTGCTGTTGACTCTGATCAGCTTAATGGTCTGAAGGCTCTGTGGGGTTTGCTAAGCCTGCTTTTAATACTCAATTACTCTGCAAGACATTGCTTGGGATTTTTTTAAGAGCTTTGGCAAGAAAATAGTTCAAGATGCTTTGTTAAAATCCAAAGTTCATTTGACCTCAGAGGAAAGGGGATCACACCAAGAAGAACTATTTCTCTGTGTTTCAAGACAGTTGTGGCTGTTAAAAGAACACTTTTTTTCTACACTGACAAGGCAGGTGAGCTGCAAATCCCCACAAATAGCATAAATTGTAAAATGTGGAAAAATAAATGCAAGTTTATTTTTCCTGTACTTCAAAAATCTGAGTAATTAATATATGTTCTTGTTAATTGGCCAGTCTGGAATGGCCAGGTTGTCTATAAACAACAATTTGTGTGGTATGAAAGATGTGCCTGTCACAACCTAAAAGTGTTTGTAAATAAATGTTAGGGATTAAAGGGCTGTCGTTTCAGGCTATAAAGCAAATGTATTTAAGACAGAACTCTTCAAACCTAGCAAGGGCAGCAGAGATGAGAAAGGCAGAGGCAAACCCAAGCTCAAGTATTTATCTAAGAAACTGAAAAATTTTGATCAGCTATGAAGACTCTTTGTATTAAATTGAGATTTTTGGGGTTTGGGCAGTAGAACTGTGTTCAGAGAACTGCACAATTCAGTACAATGAGAGCTGGGGGAAGAAGAGTGAGCTGCTTGCAGTTTGATGCATCTGAGCTGTGTGATGTCTGCTGATTTAAGTTATAAGACACTTTAAGTAGCTAAATTAATCAGACACTTGAAAAGAATTGCTTTTAGTACAGATTAAAAAAAAAAAGAAGAATGCTTAGAAATTGCTAAGTTTAGAAGTTTAGAAGTTTGTCTCTTATGGCTAAGGAGCAAGGACTCTCCTCCCTTCTGGAGGTAGAAGCTACTTTCTACTTCCTTTCAATGTATTCTTTTCCTAAACTGAGATGTGCTCTCCCATTATATCCTTCAGGAAACTGTGTACTAAAGTATTAATATATGTGGCAAAATACTGCATATTCTGTGTACTAAAAGACTGATTCCATATCTACTGAAATTGACTAAACTGTGTCTACTGAAACCAAAGAGCACTTCTCTGTACAAATCTGTATTCTTGCAGGAAAATTATGGTAGAGATCCTGTGAATGAATCCATTTCTGGAAAATGTTTTTCTAGGTTAGGCACATGCTGTGTCAGCACTTAGTGCCAGCAGCTGCTTTGTCTTTGTTAAGACCAAACTCTTGTGATCCTGCCTGGAGATGCTGCTGCTGGAATTTCACCTACTGGATTCTTGAGTTTGCTGAGATTTGGGAAGCGCTAAGGAGAAGCTGCTGTCTGTGGGTCTCTGCTCGAGGCCTTGAGACTGCAAAATCATTTCTAAAAGATAAAAAAACCCCAAACAGCAGAAGCACCAAAAGAATGAAAGCTAATTAACCCTATCTGTTAGCTAAAAGTTTCAACAGGAAAGCTTGCAGATCAGAAAAGTGAGGCAAGGGGCATCATTCACAGATACTTTCTAGGATTTGTAATCATTTGTAATCCTTTCCATTTGAACAAATTAATGAACCAACAGTGTTCTTATTAAAAATTTAAAATGTGACCTCTACTAAGAAGTATAAGAAAAGAAAAAGTAAGAAATATTATTAATCTATTTCTGTTAGGTGCAAAATGTGGCCAAGTTCTTACACAGCCAAGAGTGGGTGGTTTCAGAGTAGACCTTTTTCCTACGTCACAAGTAACCTTCTCTCTCCTTTCTGAGGACAAAATTGTCCTTCAAAGTTGCACAATAAAATGTGAGGAGGAAAAAAGAGGATAACCAAAGTATAGTCAAAACTTGGACTTAAGCAGGAGCAAATTATTTCTGCAGGGTGCTGGAGGCTGTGCAGTAATGTGTGCTGTAAATGATCTGCTGCAGTTGCTGAGTGTTTTGCAAGATATGTCTATTTTTTTTCTTGAACAGAGTAGGGCTGTTGTGGATCATCTAAAATGGCAAAGCTATAGTGAAGTGAAATTCCTCACTGTAGGGAGCTGGAGTTTGGAGCCAGGGACTGCAGAACTGCCCACAGCTCTGTCCCTCCTTCAAACAATGAATGGCAAAACACAAACCAGAGTTTTGGGCCTTACTTTTTGTAGAAACCTGTTCTTCTTGATCCTAGAAGGTAGATTTAACTACAGGTGTGATAATGGATTGTTGTAGCAAGGAAAAAAAATCAATCACATTCACAGTGATGATTATAAATCCTTCTCCTCTCCCTCTTTTATCTCTGGTATCTCAGCACTTGTCTTTTCTACCTGACAATCTCCGTGCCACTTGGTTCCCTTGAGATTGCCAAGGCAGTGCAAGAAATAAGGAATGTGCTCCTTGTTTGAGTGATATTTGCAGGGTTGCTGCCATGGGAGCAGTGAAATACAGCATGAAAAGAAATTTAGAGACACAGAGATTAAAGATGGGCAGGAAAATGGGAATTAAAAATAAGGACTACAGGAAAGAGATATGTATGAAACACCACCTTGTGGGGAGGAGATTCTGATTGTTGGGGCAAGGGTGGGTGATGCACAGGTGGGAATGGTGTCAGGAACACAGGCATTATCCTAACACTGGATGGAGACAGCCATTACCTGGGATTGCTACCAAACTCTGCAGCTCTTGCTTAAGGTTCATAATGTCTTTGCACAGCTGGATGTCATCCATCCTGCAGAAACAGAAAAAGCATGGTCAGACATGCAAACTCCACTCTGTGTTGATGGGATTGGCCAGATCTCATCTGAACACATGACCCTGGCCCTTGTCTGTCAGCCTGAAAGGGGATCCTGGCACTCTTGGCTCACCTAGCTTAACAGAAAGCAAAAAGTCTTTAATACTAAATGCCCATTGAGCCCTAGATTACTTGTCTTCCCGGCTCTAATTTGTGTGTAGGTTCATACCTGCCACTGTGGATAATTTCAGATGCCTTTTACTTTCTTGAACATCAGAGAACATTCCAGAATGGACACCTGTATCCATGACGGTCCTGGGCAAAGACAGGTGTGCCATATTGCACTTACTGCAGCAAGAGTTTTCACTAGGGAAAGAGCAAGAATAGCAGAGAGCCTGGGAAGGGGCAGCAGAGGGTGGTGCTTTATTTGGGACAGCCAGGGCAAGGTTTATGTTCTATTACCAGCTTTGTTTGTGACCTTACTAATAATTCAGCTCTAACCCCAGAGATCTGGAAACTGTCATAATTTGGCATTTATCTATTTTTGAGGTTTTTTGCCTTGGGTGAATGTCCTCCATGGTTGATGTTGAATGCTTCAAATCCTCAATATGTGCAGAAAGTCCATTAATGTTAAGACACAGAAGACCACTTAAAAAAAAAAATAACAACATTAGTAGAAACTGCACCTTCAGTTCTCATTGAAACTGCTGCTTCTCCTGAGAGCTGCCATGCTGAATCATTCCCCTGGAAGGTAGCAGCCTTCAGCATTAGCTTCCTGGCACAGGTTTCATTTCAGTGTCTCAGCCACAGTGGCAGCCAAGGCTCAGGTGTTGGCTCCAAGGGCAGCATCTGGGGCTTCTGTTTAGAAATCACCCCCTGAAGAGCACCAAACCCAGCCTGTGTGATTAATTGTACATCCTCAGCTTGGCTCTCACCAACACTCTCTTTGCCCAAGGATCTCTGAGCTCTGTTTCTCACACTCCTGTACCTGAGGGCTGGGTTGGCTGTTGCCTGAGCACCCAAAGGCAGCTGAAGTGCCATCAGAGCAGGGGCTGTCACCGTGGTGTTTCAGGAGAGGAGGGCTGAGGGATTCATGTGTGTGTGTATGTGAGAGTGAGCCCCCAGAGGACAATGCAGCCAAATTATTGAATTAAGAGAGGAGTGGAAAAAGTAGGTGTTTCTGGCACAAACAAGACTTTAATCACAACTGAGAGCTTTTATTCTCCTTGTCGCCTCTGCAAGGAGCACAGGTCTCTGCAGGGAGCTGTCCTTCAGCTGTTTTGCTCTTGTTAGGAAAACATGTTGATCCTTCTATTATTTGCTGCTTGGGTTAACTCCATCTTGCCTGTTCTGCTACTTTTACTGTGCTATGACAGCTATTCCTGCTGTCTTTTTACACCTCTCCTCCCAAAATACAACCGTGAAATACCACTCCTAATAATCCTTATTGCTGACCTCTTTCTTCCTTGTGTACCCCTGTCACTTCCACTGGGATCTGCTCTTTCACTGCCCATCTGTCTTGTAAGACTTGGTTTTATTGGGAAGAGCAGCATGTTTGCCTCAGGACTAGTGCATGGTCCTTTGCTCTGCATGCTTAGGATGCTTGGAGGCAGACATGCTTTTACTGATGAATATTCTTACTTAGGCTCCCTATATGATTCAGGCTCATCACAAGCAAAGCCTGCTTTACTCTTGAGATCCATCACACTAAATGGTACTGGAATTACTTTTATCAATTAATCTTAAACGCTGTCCTCCCAGGAGAGCTGGTATTCAAAATGTGCTGGGATATGAGCAAGCCTCACAGCTCCTTATCTATTCAGTGCTCATGCACTTTGGGTGCCATCTTCACACATTTGAGTAAGATGACCATGCCTAACAAAGATGACAGTTTCTTGGCAAGAAATGTTCAATATTGAGCTGCTGTATTCAAATTATATCAGGCCACACTCTCAACTAGTGAAGAGAACAGTGAGTTTCTATAAAAGGGATCTCTCGATAGATGGAGAGGATTTTTTTTTCCTTATTCAGAAGATTTGGCTTCATTCTGAGAAGCTCTGAAATACACTAATTAAAATACTTTACTATATCAGTTTGGCTCCCTGCCCTCACTAAGGAACTCCAAAAATGGCACTGCTATTCTCTGAGGATTTTCAGGAATTTAAAATATCATCAGCAGTATATTCCAACTGAACAAGATCATTCATGTTCAGTAGTCCCTACAGTCCCTATGCCTATTTTGTGACAAAGGTACTGGCCTGTTGTACATGTTGCAACTTTTGTTGCACTTTCTCCCCATTATTTTGGCTGCTTTTTAATCTGACTGCAGAGCATGTAGCTGGTACTCCGCATATATTCTTAGCATCTCTTTTTCCTGAGCCATAAACTTTGTTCCTGCCTTGTAACACACAGCAGAGAAGTAAATCCATGGCCAAAGCACTTTAGGTCTGTAACAGCTCTGTGACCACACGAATTCCAAAGATCCTAAGTCAGATGACCTCTCCAGTCCCAGTTCTGCAGGGGGATGCATTGTGCTGTTGGACAAAAACTGAACCTGCCATCTGTACCAACCCACTTAAGCACATGGAACATCTTTCCTCCCATCTGTGTCAAACAGCCTTTGTGTTTCATCCACTCCACAGTGCTGATTAGGAAAAAAAGTAATAAAAAAAAGGTTAACTGGCAAAAGGGAGGGCTGAAGGACATATGTGACCATGCCAAAGCTTCATCTATCTGACTTAATGAAAGCAGGATCTATGTCTGCTTGTAACTATAAAGCACATCCCACATCTGCTGGCAAATAACACTGAATGCAGGGCAACAGGTGCTGCCCTGGGCAAGAGTTGCCTTGTTGCCCTTGAAGAAAAGGGAAGAAGAGGAACTCCTGGAAAGGAAATCTCTTGGAAGGCCATTCAATCTGTACTGGTACTATGAACCTTCCTTTCTTTTCCGCCTTATGCTCTGCATGTTGGATGTGAGTAGTTACAGGAGTCCCAGAAGAAGTAAATGCTGTTTCAAAAAAGGTTAAATCCCAGTGTATTTCTCATTTGGAACCTGGATGGTCAACAGGGTTTGACTGAGAGCATCTTGGTATTATTATCAGACCTCTTTAGGAAGTAAAAAGAGCTTTTGGAAATCTTAAGGAGAGCAGCAATCTGCAGAGTAGAGGAGAAAAAATTCCTTTGCATCCCCTAACCTACAGAGGTTGTCTCTCTTCTCTGGAAGAGATGGTAAATTCTTTCTAGTCCCTGTGAAAATACTTCTCAGATTGTAGAAAAAACATCAGTGAAGCAAACAGCAGTTACAAGAAGGCAGTTTTTTCTCCAGATCTGAGCTTTAAATGTCTGCCCAGGAATCCTAAACACATGAGTTATGAGTATGATAAAAAATGTCTCTGGTTAGGAGCCCAAATCTATTCTTGGAGTAATTGCAATAGTATTGAACTAGGGATGAATTCTCAGTGTGCTTTCATGTATCCCTGACACACAGTCTGACTTCTGCTTTTCTTTCTTGATGGCTTATTGCAGAACCCCCTCTGTATGCTTGGAGATATCACACAAGCACGTATTATTCTTTTCTATCTTGGTATTTAAGCTATATCATCACAAGCAGACTCTCTGTTTGCCAGAAAGAAACAACAAAAAGCCAAACCTCATAATGAATAAACAGCATGAGCAGAAGATTTTCTAAACATGCCACAAAATGACAGGGAAATAAGTGGGTCGGGGAGCCTGCAGTGCTCTGGCACAGTGACTCAGCCCCATTACATGTTTCTGTGGTCCAGCTACCAGGGGAGAGTGCCCTGAGCATCGTCACTGCCACCCCATCCAGCAGCGAGGTGACAGCATGAGTCACCTCTGCTGTCACCATCTGCACTGAGGGGGAGCAGGGCAGGCAAACAGAGCACAGCCCTCCCATTCAGCTGTGCCCTGCAAGCCCCAAAGGCTGTGAAGATCATGGGAGGCAGGACTTAAAAAATTAACATTCTGTACCAGACACAAAAGAATTGTTTTGGTTTCAGTAGAAATTATTATTCAACAGCTGAATTTTTCTTTCTTTTCAGCCAAGGAAGAAAACCAAATTCCCCCATGTAAGACCTAGGTGCCATCTAGAGACATGCATAGGAAAAAGCAAAAAAATTATAGTGAAAGCCCATAGAAAAATCACTAAACACCTCCCTTAAAGGCCAGCCAAAAAAAGGAGATGGCCAGCAAGACAGACAAATACTTCATATTTGAATGTAAGAACTATCAGTAACAGCTACATAAGCATCAAATATCATTTTCATTGATTTCAGGATGAGCAGAGCAGTTCAGTGTGTCTAGAGGGCTTCTGCCTTTGCTGAATGACTTTCAAAGCTAGAAATAGATCTGTGCTCCCTCTAGCATGTCTGTAAGAGGAGGTCTGAGATTCCTTTGTTTTCTGTTATTGTGCTTGTGTTAAAGTGCTTGAAGTTAAAAAAGGAATGTAGACCCGGATTGCTGGTTTCCTTCCCTCTCTTCCAGGAGGGTTTGCAGGCACTCTAAATTATTTTTAGTTCTGTTTTAATACATTCCTGCCCCAGGAGTAAAATACTTGTAATTGTTGGAGTTTCTGAAGACTTTGATAGTGCCAGTCTAGGAGCTGGCCTGAGAATCAGGTGTCATGCTAAGTCACAAGCTGACATGACCATGTAACTGAAGGTCTCAATGCAAGGATAAAAAGATCATCTCCTTGGTGGTGTCTCCAGTGAACATGCTGCAACCAGCCAAAAGCAACCAGTTGTGATGGAGAAATTTGGGGGATTGAAGTAAAGAGATGTGTAGAAATAAAGAGAATTGCTACAGAGATGGGGATGATGTCAAGCCGCAGATTCGAGGGACCTCAGTGGAAGCTGCCTTTGGGTCCTGCAGGTGTTTATGGCTTTGCCAAAGCTGTGGGGAATCTGCAGTGGTGAAAGTGTTCTTGGGACTACAAGAGCCAAATAAATTTATAGAATCTCTGAACTGTTAAGGTTG